GAGAGCTCGAGCAGCGTCAGCAGCTCAGACTCCTTCTCCTTAGCTTGCTGGAGGAGCTTGTCGATCTATGTGCAGCGCCGACTTTAGCAACGACAGCAGGACGATCGTGAAACACAGCAACAAACCTTCTCCTTCGTCAAACTCCAGATGGCCATACCCAAGAGGTAGTCGTAGTCGGTGACGTTGCCCTCGAAGTCGCTCCCGTCGTCGTCCTCGACAACCTCCTCGATCTCGCCATGGACCTTGGCCTTGGACACCTTCGGGAAGGGGCGGAACTGCTTCTTGCGGAGCTCGGCTACGATGTCCGCCTTCTTGCGGTTGTTGACGATGAGTTCCTTGTCGATGATCATCTTGACGAAGCGGGCCTGGTTGTTCAGACGGTCGAGCTGCGTCTGAAGCTCGTTCGCCAAGAAGTCCTGCGGGCGTTGTCAGCATTCAAAGTTGCAACACAGACGTTGCGAGATGGGCGTACCTTGCGCTTCTGGTAGTACGCCAGACGCCGCGGGTAGAAGTCCTCGATGATCTCCTCCGCCGCGCTGTATTTCTTGATCTTGCCGTCAAAGTCGAAACAGACCATGTTCGCCGTGCTGACCCTCGTCGTGAGCTTGAAGAACTCGTGGAAGCCCTGCTTCTCCGCCTGCTCCATGCCCTTCTCGGTCATCGTGATCACGAAGTGGACGTTCATGTTGTTATGGTACTCTTTGTAGTCCTACATGGAGCCAAATCTTTAGTAGCTGCTTAGACGAACAACACGGTCATCGCTTACCTTGACGGGACCGTCGCCCTTCTCGCCGCACATCACCTCGAGCTCGGCCTTGAACGTCTGCGTCCACTTGTGGATGGGCAGCTCAGTGATCTCGATCGTCGAGTCGTCGATCTTGGTGATCGTGCCCAGGACGTCGTACTTGTTGTCGCCGGTCTTCTTGATTGCACCCGAGAAGCCGCGCCACCACGGGAGCATGGGGACCTGCTCCTCCCCGTTCATAAGGCGGCGGAGGTTCGCGACGATGTCTTCGGGGTTGAAGCTAGGGACGGACGTACTCCAGCCTGATAATCTGCGTCAGCAATCGGGGTAATGCTCAAGAGAGTTGGGAACATACCAGTACCGATACCCTCAGCGCCGTTGACCAAGACCAGCGGGATGACGGGCATGTACCACTCGGGCTCTACCGACCTACCGTCATCCTGCTGATACGACAGGACCGCATCGTCTGCGGGATGCATCACATTGCGGATGACCGGCGCCAGCTCGGTGTAGATGTAACGAGCCGCGGCGTGGTCCTTACCGCCCTGATCACGCGTACCGAATTGACCGTTTGGCAAAAGTAAGTTCATGTTGTTGCTGCCGACGTAGTCCTGCGCCAGGTTGATGATGGTGGCCATCAAACTTGCTTCGCCGTGATGGTAGGCGGAAGTCTCGGAAACGTAACCGACGAGTTGAGCGACCTGGACGTTGTGTGAGCAAGGTTTCGGAAGCGATGTAGGCGGCTGTCTTACCTTGATTTCCCTCTTCAGGTTGCGCTTGAAGCAAGACCAGATGACCTTCCGCTGACCAGGCTTCAAGCCGTCCGCAACGGATGGGATGGAACGGATGTTGTCCGCCATGGAGAAAAGGATCAGCTCGCGGTTGATGAAGTCCTTCAGAGGAATCTCGCGCTGAGTGTGATCGAGGTAGGTGCCAGGCTAGCGGGACGACCTAAGTATACGACTGGACATCGCGAAACCGGGCTGACACGTACCTTGAACTGACGAAGCCACTCCTTACGGTCGTCTGCCTTCTTCTTACTGAACGCCAGCTCGATCAGCTCACGGTCGCCGTCCTGCTGGGTGGAGAACGGGATCATGTGGCGCTTCATGTCCCTGAAGTAGTCGCGAGCGTCCTCGTCTTTGCTCGTACCAAGACCCTGCAGACCATTGAGTCCAGATATGAGTTGGAAACTTTATCAACACACCTTGTAGTACTTGTGCTCCCACTTGTGCGAATCAGGCGTGTCTTCTAGCCACATCTCGTACTCTGGAATTGTATAGAAGTTGATGATGGTCTTGCCCTTCCATACCTGCGACAATATTGAGAACAAGTATGAACGGAAGAATGCAAGTCACGCACTCGGACGACGGGCGTGATAAACTCGACGAGGAACTTCGGGAGCTTCAAGAGCGAAGGGTAGAAATGGTCGAGATAGTTGATGAGGAGACCCTTGATATGCGAACCATCGTGATCCTAGTCGTGTGCGAGAGGGTGAGCGCAGTCCGCACTCTTGAACGAGAAACTTTACCTGATCCGTCATGAGCATCAGACGTCCGTAGCGCAAGCTGTTCACGTCTGTGTACTCCTTATTGTGCTGCAAGCCCATAATCTTCTTGATGTTCTGAATTTCCTCGTTCTTCATGATCTGGTCATGCTTCGCGTCGCGGACGTTCAGCAGCTTTCCACGGAGCGGGAAGACACCGAAGTTGTCGCGACCAACGACACCGAGGCCAGCAATAGCCAACGCCCTGGCAGAGTCACCCTCAGTGAGGATAAGGGTACAATCTCCAGCTCTGCGTGTGCCCGCATTGTTCGCGTCTGACAGTTTCGTCATGCCGGTCAACCTAGACGCGTCTTCAGCAAAATAGCATAGGGCCTGACACGTAGAAGATTTACCTCGTACGACGGTTTCCATCCGTCTTCTTCAGCTGCTGGTCGGCCTTGAACTTGGCCCAGTTTAGGACGTGGTCGACGATGGAGGACTTGGCGACTATACACGGGACGTGAGATGAGTTGGTCAATTAACTGGCAGACCGCTTACCTTTCTTCATGAAGTCTTCCGATAGTGTAGGCCGAGTACCAAACTTGCTCGCGGGGAGCGTCAGCGTCTCCTTCGTCTGACTGTCGAAGGTCGGGTTCTCGATGAGTGCGTTCACGAATATCCACATGTGGTTCTTAATCTGCGCGGGCTTGATCGTCGCCGCCTTGTTCTTCTTCGAAATGGAGGTGATGAGAGCCTTCGCAATCTGGTCGGCCATGTAGTTGACATGCGTTCCACCCTTCGACGTCGAGATGGAGTTGGCGAACGAAACCTGCTGGAAGGAACCATCCGAGACCGCGAACGCGACCTCCCAGCGCGTCCCAATGGGCTCATAGATGATGGTCGGCTTGGCCTGGGCGGCGCCTCCCGAGGTGTCCGCCGCTTCCTGTGCAGCGGAGTTGATGAAGAGCTCGACGTATTGCTTAAAGTTCTTGATCTTCAGCCGCTCGTCGTTCAAGAACACCTTCACGTCCTTCGTCGTGCCCGCAAGATCATGCACACGCTTCTTGAGCAGCGATACCGTGTCCTCGTCGATGGAGTCCATCCCGAACCGCTTCAGGTCTGGCTTGAACGTGACCCGCGTGTATTCCTCCCCACGCCCGTTCTTCGTGATCTTCGCCTTCCCTATCTTGCTCATGTTGTCTGTCCATGTCTGGGAGTACTTCTGGCTGGTGTTCTTGTCGGCGGTGTCGACGGTGAATTCCGTGGAGTAGATGTTCGCGAGCTTGGCGCCGTATCCGTTACGGCCACCGGTCAGCTTCTTCTCGTCGTCGTCGTAGTTCGAAGACGAAAGTAAGTGGCCGAAGATGAGTTCGGGAATGTAGATCTTCTCCTTCTTGTGCATCTCGATGGGAATACCGCGTCCGTTGTTGTACACTGTTATTGTGTTGTTCTCAACGTCGATATTGACCTTAATTGTGTCCATGGACGCGTCGTTAATCTGGCGGGTACGCGACATGAGTTACGACGTTCTCTCTGAATGTGGCGAGCGAGGTGGCGAATGGCACATGCTTCTGCAAGACTGAGTGCCACCTCGCATACATCAAGGATAGCATATATGTTGAGACCATTCTCACCCACCTTGTTATCCGCCGCGTTGACCAGAATTTCGTCCACAATCTTGAAGAAACCGGGTACGTATTTGATTTCGCGGTGCACCATCCGCTTGTTCTCTGAGTCCCATGTCCACATCATCTGCGTGATAGTTTCGACGCTCCCGATGTACGAATCGGGGCGCTTGAGGATATGCTCGAGTTGGGAGAGCTAGACGGCACGTTGTCACGCGTGGACGTGTCTCAAGTGCATATATGCGCGCACCTTGGTGTACATCTCCGATGCTGTCTTCTTCTTCGCGTTTGTGGGCGCCGAAGGTTCTGCCAGGGGTGCCACAACGGAGGCAGGGTCCTCGTCCATCGGCTCTTCGTCCTCATCACTGTCTGCGTTGTCGTTCTTGTCTAGGAGGACCTTCGTCTTCTTCGTCGCCTTGGGCTTTGCAGCAGCCTTCGGTGCAGCCTTGGACACGGGCTTCTTCGCAGGTGCCTTCTTCTTGGGCGCAGGCGCGTAGCCGTCAGACTCCGAGCCCGAGACGTCGAGGTCGAAGTTCTCTTCCGAGGAGCTCATTGTGCAGAGCTAGTAATCGTGAATCCCGTCGACAGTGGTAGTGTGGCAGTCCGGCGAGGAAGAGGCGGAGGGGCGAGGGTGGCTCGCGTCGTGACGGTTCGTGTCAACACGTTCAACGCGAAACGCGACCATCTTTCAAGAACGCGCCCAGCACGTGACAATATTTAGCGCCCATATTCACATCAAGTTGAGACTTGTGGTTTCCACAAGTTTATATAGCATCTGCCTAGAAACGCTCATGCATGTCCTTGATACTTCCAGAATTATTTGTCTTCGCAGCGCGTAACGGATACTACATTTTGAAGGGAGGACGCGTGAGCGAAGCACCGACACGCGGTCAGTCACATTCCACTCACGCGTCACTGTCGCGTACGCGATACGGTTGGTAGGCGCTTGCTAAGTCTACGATCGACGCTCCGCCTCGGCGCGATCTGCCTCCCCTCGGATAGCATTTCGTGTCATTTCATACTGTCTTGTGGTCAACCATTGTATGGCTGCAGTACGATGGCTGATTGAGTGATATCACATGCTGAATATAATTGTCTATCAGTTTACAACGTCAATAATCCGTCGTGCTGTGTGGCTTTCTCATGCCCCATGGCTGAGTTGGTCACAGCGTCCGACTGTTATGCAGATAGTGATCACCCAGGTACATCGGAAGGTCGTGAGTTCGAGCCTCACTGGGGCAGTGGAAAATGTGCATTCTGCGTTTTTGCTTGGATAGAAGAAGCGCTCTATGCATGTGAGGGTATCGGGTCTCCCCCGTTTCAAGAGCTTAGTTATATCCAGCAGATGCAATCCAATCACTATGGTGAGCATCGCACGCACACCGATTGTAGGCAGGGCATTTTTTTTTTTGGATCCAGGTTATCATTGTACATGTAGTGCTTATACAGCCGTCTACGCTACGATTAAAACGGGGTTTTCTGATGTTCCCCGCGAACATATCTCGAGTCTACTGCGGCGCTGCCGCTCATATCGTAGTGGAAATTTAGCTCGTGGAGGTGATAGTAGTGTGTGTGACTT